TTTGCTGGCTGTAGCAGCGCTATAGCGCTGCTATAGCGCTGCACAGCAAAAACGCATAAAAATGATGAATAAATCAGATTTGAATAGCCACGCATTTAAAGAAATATCGAATTTCAGCTACACAGTCAGCGACAGTGGCAGAAACGACTGTATCAACTACGACGCCAACTTTAACATCGAAAACTGCATCAGCCGCAGAATCCACTACGACGCCAACTTTAACGTCGACAACTGCACCAGCCACGGTATCAACGACGGTGCCAACTTCAGCATCGACGACTGCATCAGCCACGGTATCCACGACGGCGCCAACTTTTTCATCTACAATTGCACCAGCGACTGTATCCACGACGACGTCAACTTTAGCACTGACGACTGCATCAGCCGTAGTATCCACGACATCACCAACGATAACATCGACAGCTGCACCGGTCACGGTATCAACGAAGACGCCAGCTACTTCACTGAAAACTACACCATTCACGGCAACGACGTCGGCGCCAACTTCTCCATCGACGACTGCATCAGCCGTAGTATCCAAGACAGCAACAACTTTAGCATCGACAACTGCACCAACCACGGTATTCACGAAAGCGCCAACTTCAGCATTGACAACTGCACCAGCCACAGTATCCACGACGGCGCCAGCTTTAACATCGACAACTGAGCCAGTTCAGCCGTCGACAAAAGCACCAACTGTTCTGCCGGATACTCATGGTACCGAGTTCTTGACAATGTTTCCGTGGAATAACGGCGATGACACCGAGCCGCCAAACACTTTCATGGATATAATCAATATGAACGAGGAAGTAGCTATTGTCGTAATACAATACCCAGAATTCGAATACGATGATGAGACAATGAGTGTGACCAGACTGTGGCTGAATGCGACAGTTAACGTGCCTTCAAAAAGCAGCTACAGAGTTAGCCTTCATTTTTGCATTGCAAGATAATCGATGGTATAACCGAGCTATGCGTAAGAAAAATTCTTCATTGAGATGGATCATGTGAGCCTGTGTAACAAGCAGTTAATGCCGTGAACCAAGGAGTAAATCTGAGCATGAGTTTTTGTATAGCATTGTTCGGCAGATACACAACCTTATAGAGGTTAGAGCATGAATTCGGTTAAAGGGCGCTCATAGCGCGCTCTTTACTTTCAACGTTTTTCCGTAACTCAAGTGAACTTTTCCTTCGTTATCTCGGTAGCTACAGACTGACCAGATACTGTTGATATCAGAAAGGCGGAGTATTCATCAAATGAATACCTTAATCTTAGATCAGAAACGGAGTTCAGAGAACAGTTTTAAACTTCTTTGTTACCTTACGTAATAATGCTACTACTATCCAATAATGAGTCTGAGGATCTGTGGTGATGCTCAAACACTTTGGGTGTTGAAATGCAAGAAGCGGAGCTAACTAAGCAGTATAGTTAGGTAATATGTAAAAGATTAGACGTAAACAGCAAAAATAATGCAGTCACTCGGAACAAAAAAGTATGGAACAACGCTCACCTTGTTGATACTTTTAAATTCTTACCGAGGTGTGAGCAAAAAACTTCGATCGTTATTAAAAAACATCGCTCTTTTTCATAACGAGCGATGTTCTTGCTTATAATCCGACGATCGTGCCGACAGAACATCTCGTGCAGACAGAACATCTTTAAGTTTGAAGAAGAGTGTTTTTATCCTTCCACTCTCCTAATTTCTTCTTTAAATTGTTGCGAATTTTTACTGTTTTCTCAAAGCTAGCTCACCGTTTGCTCAAAACTAGCAAATCTAAGCCTAATTCGAACTACGGGCAACGTATATTCTTCAGCCGTTTGGGTTTCCTTTTCAAATAATTCGAATTGGACTCGCTGGCACTGACTGACTTTTTTCTTCAATGATGACATGCGAATTATACAGCATAAAACACGAAACAGCATTTTCAAACATTTCTAAATCCGTA